TCTTACTTTTCCAAATAAATACCTGCATTGATTACATTTTTTTATTACAGTATATTTGATTATAATTTTGTGTGAACTTTCCATTTTTTTAATCAGATATTTATTACATGGTATTAAATTTAAGTTGTTTTGCAAAAAATATTCATGTGGAAAAAAGAAAAAAGAATGTTATTGATGTCAACCTCTCTTTCCCTGTCTCTGTTACTCAGACTGTTGCTCATAGTCTCTGGCGCTTGCTCACGGGGATAGCAATGGCATCGGTACCTTCAGTTGGTTGCCTTCTGGCCAAAAATCAGTATTATCGAAGTAAGTAATATCATCACTCGAGGACCCCTAGGGAATATGGTATGAAGTGATGTCTGAAGGGTATTAGTAACCCATGTATTGTATCCTGGTCATTTTAAGGTGAAGGAAGACTGATGTGACAGTGAAGGAGAAAGGAATAGAATTCATTGGAGACTTTTCCAAATCAGTATTATCAAGGAAGGCTCATTTCTTTAACTATGTTATATGGTATCGATAAGGCCACTAATACATAAATAAGTGATCAGCTTATATTTCAAAATAATGTTTAATTTCAATACTTTAAAAACCGATAATTTTTTAAAAATAAAATATTCATTTTTTAGAATAGAAGGGATATCATAACTATGCTTCGTGGATTTTCTAATTTCTACTTTGCTGCTATGGATAAGTTATTAGCATCTATCATGACAGTTTTATTTTTATCCATCTGTATTTATAGCTCAATAGAAAATTGTAGCTTCTTAAATTCAGATTCATTAAATAATAAAATGATCACTTTAAAACCAACGTATCGCCCTGGCTGGTTTGGCTCAGTGGATAGAGCGTCAGCCTGTGGACTGAGGGGTCCCAGGTTCGATTCCAGTCAAGGGCACATGCCTGGGTTGTGCGCTCAATCCCCAGCCGGGGGCGTGCAGGATTCAGCCAATCAATGATTCTCTCTCATCATTGATGTTTCTTTCTCTCTCACTCTCCCTTCCTCTCTGAAATCAATAAAAGTATATTTAATAAAAAACTTATCATTTGTTGAAAGATGCCAGAAACATGTAAAAAAACACTCTTATTTCCAGATGCTTTTAACTCTGTGTTGGAAATATCTATTGATTTATCCTTTTTACAACAAGATTAAGCTATGCCCATTTACTTTTTGTTATTACAGCCACAGAAGTTATTTTTATATTCGGATATTTTAAAAGACTTATATGTTTCAAATACAAATACTGTTTATTTTTTTTAGATTAAGCTATGCCCATTTACTTTTTGTTATTACAGCTACAGAAGTTAATTTTTTATATTCTGATATTTTAAAAGACATGTTTCAAATACAAATACTGTTTATTTTTTTAAAAAATAACTCCTTTATTTCTAAATATGATAGCCTTTGTATGCTATTTAAATATATACACATGTAATATTTCTAATGCAATAAAATAACATTCATTCTTGATTTTATATTTGCTAACATTTTAAATTTTATAGCACTTATAACATATTTTAAATTCTATATCTATATCTGTGGAAAGAGAATGTTCACCACTGAAAGGAATATACCATATTAGTAAAAAATGTAATAAGCCTTATTATTCTGGAAGACTTTGTAATTGATTGATAATTTACTTAATTTTTAAATTCATAAATGTATGAGCTAGAAGTAAATCATTTCAAACCATACTACTTGAGAGTTTAGAGATAAATATGTATTTGTTTGCTTGTTATGTATTTGTTCATTCATTATTGTTTCTTTTGTAGAGGCCAGTATTTCTTCAGTTAGCTCTGACACTGTTAATTTCATAGATGAAGACAAACCTCTTCAAGGTATTTAGTTTATTTCTTATCAGCATCACTCTCATTATTTTTCTGTTTGTAATCTCTCAAAATTTTGATAAGGTCCTAGCCAGTTTGGCTCAATGGATAGAGCGTTGGACTGAGGACTGAAGGGTCCTGGGTTCGATTCCCACCAAGGGCATACACCCGGGTTGTGGGCTCAATCCCCAGTAGGGGGTGTGCAGGAGGCAGCCCATCAATGACTCTCTTATTGATATTTTTCTCTCTGTCCCTCTCCTTTCCTCTCTGTCTGAAATCAATAAAAATATATATAAAAATTTGTTGATAAGGAAGTAATATAGCTCTCCCTCTCCTTTCCTCTGTCTGAAATCAATAAAAAAAATACAAAAATTTTGTTGATAAGGAAATAATATGTATTTTATTTGATAGGGTTACCTGAAATGGCAGAATCCACCTGGTGGTTGAAATCCTTTTTTCATTCTGAACCTGTGCTTTCAAGTGAAATAAGAAAAGAACTGTCTGTTAGTGGGTAAGTTACAGCCTTTTCTGATAAGGGTATCTCTTACTAGCAGTGAATGAAACAATGCAGGTAGTAATTCTTAACCAATAAGATAAAATTGTTTCTTGAGGATGGTGTAGGCTTTGATATAAAGCATAATTATGAGATAGAGAGGGACAATTGCTCCCTATTCTAGTTAATTAACCATAAGTCAGATCATGAGCACTTTCTCTCATTCTATCACTAAAGTGTGATTGAAAAGTCATATGTCAATTTTTATTAATGTTTAGGAGGGATAGATTGGGAATCAGAGGCAAGGTTCTAAATGATTTTTTTATTAATACTTTTAGGAAACAAATCACAGTTATCTAGTTGCTGTCTTAAACAACCTAGGTTAGTCCCACTAGTTTTTTAAAAGTATTTATTTTGTCTTTAGACAATGGCTGATACTAACACTGATGACCAGCCACTAAACTGAATAAAAATAAATAATGATGGCATTCATAGATTCTGATATTAAAACCGAAGTTTTGATCAATTTTCTAATATGAGTTTATAATAGAATCAAGTATTGATACTTTTTAAAATCAAAGGAAGACAATTTTCAAAAAGATGTATTCTTTACTCTCTTTATCAAGTACATTGATTTGAATGATCTAGGTAAGTGTTTTACTTATTTTCTACTGTACTTGGACTATAAAGACAGCTTAACTTACAGATAAGCTTTTCTCAACTAACCATCTTTGTATTGCAATCTAATGACATAGTTGTAACAACTGTATTTTATACAGCACTAACTGTTGATTCTGACAATCAAAATGACTCCACCTGCTGAGGTGCTACAAATGTGAACAAGACCCGTCAGCTCTCAAGTTATTCTAGATAACGCTTCTCCATTGCAAGAAGACAAAAACCGGCCAGAGATCTCATTTATTAGGCAAGATCACAGCAGCCACCCATACAAGTTCAGGCATTTTCTTCAATACTAAAATTACTGTCGTGAGTAGCATCAGCTTCACAGAGAATATTAGAAAAGCATGGTTTAAAAAATATGTGCCCCTTTAAAGCAGTTAGTCGTTAACTGTAGCAGTCTTTTCATTATCCATATTATGTTTCCAAAAATTTAATTATTTTCAATTAAAAAAATTTTAGACTCTCTTTATGTTTGTTGAATTATTTATTATACCTTAAAACAGAAGCATTGATACCTAATAAAATGGTTTAAAGGTCACTGGATTCAAATGTGTAGAAGAGGTGCAAAAATTTTATTTTTAATCATGAACATTGAAAATAGCAAACACACCCATAAATACATTACCTGTTTGACACATTGCTATACATCTCACCAACTGTTCATTGTGTAGACTTTAAAATTTATAATTTTAGCAATATTTAACAACACAGAAAATTATGATACTATGTTAAGTGAAAACTGTAGAATAATCTATATATGGATGATTTTAGTTGGATTAAAAATATATATGGATAAGATTGAAAGGCAATATAACAAAACTAGAGGCTCAGTGCACAAAATTCGTGCATGGGTAGGATCCTAGGCCTGGCTAGTGATCAGGGCCGATCAGGTTCCCTTGCCTCCCTGTGCGCCGCCCCCCCGCCCCGCCTCCCCACCTCCTTCCCTTGCCACCCATGCACCACCACCTCGCGGTTCCTCCCGCCTCCCTGACTCCCCACTTCCCCACCTCCTCCTTCCCTCTCTCCCTCAGCTCCCTGCTGCCGCTGCTGGTCGCCCACCATGTTCTGCGCCACCCCTGGTGGTCTGCGCATGTCATAGCGAGCAATCAAACTCCTGT